CAATGAGGTGGGAGAACCGTTTTCCCCACCCCCCGCGAGAGCAGCCGTCAGTCTACTAATCGGAATATCCCCCGTAGGCTACCGAAAAGAAATATGTGCCCCGTGCTGTCCTCGTCGACCTCGAGCCCGGTACCATGGACGCCGTCCGTGCTGGTCCGTTTGGCCAGCTCTTCCGTCCAGACAACTTCGTTTTCGGCCAGTCTGGTGCCGGCAACAATTGGGCCAAGGGCCATTACACTGAGGGAGCTGAGCTAGTGGACCAGGTCATCGACGTCGTCCGTCGTGAAGCTGAAGGTTGTGATTGCCTCCAGGGCTTCCAGATCACTCACTCTCTTGGTGGTGGTACCGGCGCTGGTATGGGTACCTTATTGATTTCCAAGATCCGTGAGGAATTCCCAGACCGTATGATGGCAACTTTCTCCGTCGTCCCTTCGCCAAAGGTTTCTGACACCGTTGTCGAGCCTTACAATGCTACCCTCTCCATCCATCAACTCGTTGAGCACTCCGACGAGACTTTCTGTATTGATAACGAGGTATGATTCGATAGTTTCTTGATCCTTTTCGCGGCCAATCCATTTTTACGGGATCTTCTAACCGGATATACAAAGGCTCTATATGATATCTGCATGCGGACTCTCAAACTCTCTGAGCCGTCTTATGGCGACCTCAACCATCTCGTCTCCGCCGTCATGTCCGGTGTGACCACGTGCCTGCGGTTCCCCGGTCAGCTCAACTCTGACCTTCGGAAACTCGCTGTGAACATGGTTCCCTTCCCTCGTCTCCACTTCTTCATGGTCGGATTCGCTCCTCTGACTAGCCGTGGTGCATACTCCTTCCGCGCTGTCACCGTTCCAGAGTTGACTCAGCAGATGTACGACCCAAAGAACATGATGGCTGCTTCTGACTTCCGTAACGGCCGCTACCTTACCTGCTCCGCTATCTTGTAAGTTTTCTTGAATCACCTCCCCGGCCTCGTATTTTGCTTCTAACCCAACTGTTTTTCTCCCAATTAGCCGTGGTAAGGTTTCCATGAAGGAAGTCGAGGATCAGATGCGCAACGTCCAAAACAAGAACCACACCTATTTCGTTGAGTGGATCCCCAACAATGTCCAGACCGCTCTCTGTTCCATTCCACCTCGCGGCCTCAAGATGTCATCTACCTTCGTTGGAAATTCCACCTCCATCCAGGAGCTCTTCAAGCGTGTCGGTGACCAGTTCACTGCTATGTTCAGGCGCAAGGCTTTCTTGCACTGGTACACTGGAGAGGGTATGGATGAGATGGAGTTCACGGAGGCAGAGAGCAATATGAATGATCTCGTTTCTGAGTATCAGCAGTACCAGGATGCTAGCATCTCGGAGGGAGAGGATGAGTAGTAAGTTTCTGTTCCACCATTCTTTTGCCTTGAATTCAAGCCTTTGATTACGCCGCTGGGCAAATGTATATCTTTGACTACCTATGTCACTAACCGGTTGTTTTCTTTTATTTAAACAGTGCCGAGGAAGAGGTCCTTGAGGGCGAGGAGTAAAGGGGATAATAGGAAAGCAATTTCAAGAGAAATCAACGTATAGCGAAGCGAGCGTAAGAGGCCCGCATTTTTGAAACCAATTCATCAATTCTTTTTAGTTCTGTTTTTAGTTTTCTTGTTCATTCATTCAATTAATTTATGTTCTGTGTTCTCTTGTTCTCTTTTTTCCAGTAGCGATAAAATCAATTCTTTTTATACCTGGACTACAAATCATGATAAGTATCACCGCTTTTTTGTCAGTTATTTCATGGGATATGAAAAGTTTCACATATGATATATTGTATGTTCTTCTGTGTAGCCCTGATTTCATGAAAGGGAGTAAGTAGTAAGTAATAAATAGTACGTTGTATATGATATGGCTATGAATGAAAACGAGAAGAACATACTGCCACTTCTGAGAGTACCCACCCACCCAGCACACCATCCATCCATCCTTTATATATACATTTTTTTTTCAACAGGCACATGGGAGACAAGACGCAATGCTCACTCACTCCTTTCACAGGTAAAACAGAAACCTAGAACATCAACTAGAAGAGTAGCGATAATAGTAGAATAACACTCAGGAGGCGAAAAGGAAATTAAAGAATAAAAGCCGGGTCTCTCTCTCTCTCTCTGCCTCAGATTGGGATTTTTTTTTTTTTTTTTTTTTTTTTTTTTTTTTTTTTTAAAGACGCAGCAAAACCGGCATTAACTAACCTCCAACATCCTCTGCCCAAGCCCGTCAACATCTGAAAAGTAAGGCCAATCAAGGCAGGGGCTGGGGGGAAACAAATGCCAGGACTTGACTTCAACTACTCCAGCGAGTATCCGGGTAGTAAAGATAACTTCCGAAGCATATATCTAGCTTGCACCATCTGCAGCGCTCTCCCTGGCCGCTTCGTCGCCGCCGCCACCACCACCCTCAAGCCATGACCCAAACTTGTCAAGCCGCTCAGCTTCTTCCTCGTCAACCTGGTCACTGTCATCCTCCGCATCAACGCCAGCTAGGGTAGTTCCGGCAGTAGTGGCGTGCCGTGAGCTCGATTTCCTGAACCTCTCGCTGCCGTCGGCTATGTATGCCGCCACCCGTGTGCCTGAGAAGAAGCGGCCGTCCATTTTCTGGGGAGATGGGAAGGTAAGTAAGTAATTGTAATTGTTTAGGAGGGTTGATGAAAATGAAATGTAGGTCCGAACTCTTCCTCTCTTTCTACTCCTCTTATTTATTGTGATATGGGAGTGATTAGGAAAAAAAAAAAAAAAAAAAAAAAAAAAAAAAAAAAAAAAGGAACAAAAAAGGACATTTTTGGGAAATTATATAACGGAACGCACCTGAACGCAGATTTTTGCTGATTCGACATCGGCGAACCGGACGCTCGCGACACCATCTTCCTCCTTATCATATAATACGACGTTAGTGACGTCGCCCAGCTTCGAGCATTCTTGTCGAATGTCTTCCTTGATATCTAGGATTGCGGCTGGGTCCTCCTGTGGAGTATGACACGCGGTTTGAGTCAATATGGAATGTACGTTTGATAGGAAAGTTGGCTTTATTCTCCTGCCCCTCTATTTTTCTTATTTGCGAGGGGATTTGGTTTTCTGAACGAAAAACGTAAGGAGTGAGAACGCGTACCTCCAGTTCTTGTAATGTAAACATATGTTTCAAAATGACCACCTTTTCCCATCGAGATGAACTTGGCGGAGCCATTGAGGGTTCGTCATCGTCCCAGTCCGCAAGTTTGCTGTAGACACGCAAAAAGTAAAGGAGAAAAAAAAATATGAGCATACACTTGCATGTAAAATACGTCTGAACAAGGTATGCCGAAACAAGTAGAAGGCGGAAGGCGAAAAAAAGACACTACAGACCTATTCAACCGCTGAGTTTTCTTCATAATTTTTCGCTTCTCATTCAAATTTGGTTTGGTCGGTGCATCCTTTTGCACTTTGAATGAGTAATCTGCCGTTTGAACCTTCATCTTGCCATCTGGACCTGTTTCTCCAAATCTAAAGTCCGTATCATCAAGCATCTGGATAGCAAGATTGACTGACTCGGGACGGAAGTACACGATCAGAGCATCGCCCTTGAACTTCCCTTCGTCGTCAGTATACATTTTTATCCGTGGTCGTCGTCGGTCGATCTCCTCGGCGATGACGCCGCACTTGCTAAAAACATCGTTCACTTCTTCAACCGTGGCGTCGAGCGGGATTGACGTGACGTAGACGGCGGTGTTTACGCGAGATTTTTTGGCCTTGTGCGCCTGAGACTGTTTGTTTTCCTGGACAAGCATGGCCGTAATCGTATCAGCTTCAAAGTACGTTTGATAACAACTATGCGAAGGAAAATGAAAACTGGAGTTCCAACTGACCTCTTCACAATTGGTATAATTCTTCCGTTTCAATCGTCGCTGCTGCTTAAAATCGGCGGGTTCGTGCTCATCTATACCTTCAACTTTATACGCCTCTCCCTGTTGTTCTAAGAGGGCATTGTCCACCTATGTGCTCCACCCAACAGACCAGTCAAGCAATTAGAATACTGTCCAGCATCCAACTGGAGTGTAGGATGATATTGATTCTCCTTGGCCCATTGATACCGTAGGCTTTCTGGAAACAAGTAGAGTAGCGTGCAATGACGGAAATCTTCGACAATGCAATTTTTTTTTTTTTTTTTTTTCCGCGCCGAAGGCGAAGCCTCCCCGTGTCTTTCCTTATTTGCCGACAGCACATTGTGGCTTTCTCGATCCCAAGATGTAGCCATCATTGGGAAGAGAGAAATAACCAAAGCAAAACATTTTTGTTTCTTTTGGGCCAACCAGTAGGGAGGGAAGAAAGTAAGAGTTTCATGAACTGCCTACCATTGGGATCCATCTCTTCAGCGCATCATCGTAATACCACTCTGATCCGTCCTCCGCCTCCAGAATATACTTGTTTTCAAGTTTCGAATAGGAAATCCTGTAATCGTCATCGAACTCGTCAGGGGACTGCGGAAAGCCCTTTCGAGTGGCGGTACTTTGTTCGTGAGGAATTGGAGGCGCCTCCATGGTGTTGGCGGTTACTTCTTAGAAATATAGCGTCAAAGTGGACGGTTGGCCAGAAGAGAAGAAGACCGATTAAATGTGCAGTGTATGTGTGTACTATGAGAAGGTATAGTTATGCTAAGATGATTGTAAGCTGGTTATTGGGGGAAGTCGTTGGAGAGCTTCCAAAGCATGGTTGGTGCACGCCGGTCTAAATAGGTTTAGTGTCATGGGGCGTTGACATTGGCACCAACCAAACGCCCAGTTTTAGCTCGAGCTTCGACAGGGGCAGCGGACGATCGCCTGCGCAGCTATGCGACTGTTTACTTCCAATGCTCGTTTGAATAGTCACGGATAATCCGAGGTCTATTAGAGTGATGCGGCGAAGCTGTTCCGTGTTTACCAGCATCTCCATGCTCAGTACCAGTATGTGGTTAAAACCCCTTGATGCGCCTAGTATTGTGACTGATAAAATCCTCTCCTTAGTCAAAGCAACTTTGGATTGGAAAAAGGCCTTTAGAGATATCTTTAACCCGTGCGTCATTCTCACTAAGGCAGGACTCCAGCCAAAGTACGGAGTACTGCATCCTCAAGATAATTGCAGTACAGTAACAAGGAATCAGTTAGAGTTGACGAGTATCCCCACGCATATATAGTGTGGATTATGAACTACTGGCCGATTGAAATAACCAGCCTAATGTCTTCTATATTCATCATGTAAAGGGTACTTGTATACTAGTATGTTATATTGATATTTCTCTATAGGATTTACAGATGTAGATGGAAGAATGTCATTATATTAAGTTCTTGACTTGGGTTGTTCAATACCTGCTCGCACCGGCATAATTGTTCTTGAAACTGGTCTTCTGCAAGAGCAATGAGCTCATCAGTGTAAGTAGCATGCTTCGTAGTTATATTCTATCCAATAACTTTGTCATCTGCATCATTTCTAAGTAGTTGGATCTCACAATTCCTCACAATTCCTTCCTTCAGCGACATGTGAATCCTCCGAGTGCGCTGACTACTTTGGCCGCCAAATTGGGCGCCAAGCCCGCGTCGGAGCCCGTTGATTGGCCGAGCCACCTTGAGCGCCAGACTTCCCCGCGCCCTGCGGCCCCTGCCACAGTGGCGGCGACTATTGGTTTTTCCACCACACATCCCGCAGCTGGAGCTTCCGTTGTCCCATCAGGCTAGTTCTGTGGGTTCAAACCCCTAGAGATAGCTCCGGACAACCTCACCACCTAACCTCAGGGTACCGAACCGCCCGCACGGCCCTTATGGTCGAGTCTACGAGCCATGGACCGCCCTGACTCTACTTCCACCCCTGATACAGAAGCGTCTAGGTCTGGTGGCTACTTTTCTTCTCATCCGCCGTACGTCGTCCCAGAGCGCGAGTACGCCAACTGCCGGCAACAGCCAGAGGGCATTCAAACCACAGAAACCCCGCGCTCGTCGAACGCAGGGTTTTCATCTGTCCCAGTCCCAGCTTCCCCGTCAGCTTACTCGTCATGGTCTCCAATTCTGACTCGACCTCGGGGTAGCAGTGGTAGCGGTGTTTCTATGAACGGGCTTGAAACACCTCTTCCTCCAGACATGCCCGCCATCAACGATCGTGACGTGAGACCTCAGCGTCCGGCTGGGCCTGCAAGAACCCCTTCTAACACATATGCCCCTGCCCGGAAGCCCCCTCAATTCACCCCGCTTCCCTCTAACAACCAGATACCCGTTGCTACCAAACGTCCATCACGGCGAGACCCTGATGCGAGATATCGTGCCCAGGAGAAGGCCTACGTGCAACGAGTGCGCCAGGGACCTAATGAATGGTTCAATATTGAAACTCAAATCCCGGGCCTAAATTTTACCCCAGATTCCGAACCGGAGGAAGAATCTCCATCATCAGAGTCGCAATTTGATAATGACCCTTTCGACCCAGACACCCACCTCGTCTTGGAAGATGACGATGCCCAGCCCACCCTTGAGGAGCTGCAGGATCCCAAAAATAAAGAAAGGCTTGAGTGGTACTCCATGCTGGCCTCGGTACTTAAAGGTGATGTTATCAGGCAGGAGAAGCAGAGGCTGATTGGGACGATGGAGCAGAAAAGCCGCGAGGTATGGAATTTGGAAATTTTTGTCGGGGCCAGGGCAGCGAGGTTTGGACGACCGATACCCTTACAGAAAAAGTTCGTGGAGTGTCAGATAAGTAATCTTGGCCCTTTGATCGAGGACATCATATCCTTTGAAATCAAAGGGGAAACTGAAGTTGGGAAACCTCCTCTGAGACAAGTTGAAGATGTCGTGGAGAAAATCGAAAAGTGTGAGAGCCTCTACCCTAGTAGGCGAATTCTACAAGCCGAGCATCCTCGCGCTGCATCGGAAGAATTCCAAGAAAGTTGCGAGGCCATCATCGCGTGGCATAATACAACCCTGTCCATTAACACAGAGCTAGCCATCCTGAAGAGATGGGTAGGTAATGAAGAACTGGATTTCGCGAAGCCGATGACGATGCCGTCCCATGCGGCTGATCTATCAGACGAAGGCTCCTTCCTCGACCGGATAATGAAGGAAGACGGTCTTAAAACGCTTCAAAGCACCGAGAACATATACGATAACGATAAGAAAAAGGAGCCTTCTATCCTGGACGGTATTGGTGGTGTCATTAAAAAGGCGAAAATTACCTTAATTGAGAACGCTGAAGCATTTGCAAAACGCCATTTACCACCCTACATCGAGGAGCTGTTGACGCTGATAAACTTCCCTTCGCGACTTATTCAGGAGGTCATCCGACTGCGGCTTTCCTATGCTCGAAAAATGAAGGACCCCGCATTGCAATCTCCCATCTTAGTTGACCAAATGATCGTACAATTCCAAATATTGCTGAAGGTTGCCGTAGATATTAAACAACGTTACCTCGTTATCTCTGATCCCGAACCTGGTTGGGATCTTCCACCATGCGTTGATGAGAACTTTGATAACATAGTCGTTGATGGACTGAAGTACTATTTCAAATTACTAAACTGGAAGCTGAGTGCCAATAAGAACACTTTTAAAGAGGCGGAAATTCTGGAAGGGGAATGGGAGTTCTCCAATGAAATTGGCCGCCAACTTGAGAATGGAGACATTGAGGTGGCTGAACAATTTAGGTATGCATTACTTACTTCTTTGGATCCCTAGTAGGAAGCGCATATGGAGATCTCATCGCTAATTTTTCCCGTAGTACTTTAACAGCTAAATCCCTACAACGATTGATGATCCACTTTGAGCAGGAGTTACATAGTAGACCGGAAGAAGATGCTGTCGAGACAGAGAAGCGTTATAAGCAAATTTTTGATTCGGTGCGGGTCCGGCAGCGAAAGCTTTTCCGCTTTTCCCGTCTTTTGCGCCAGCGATTCGAGAATGCAACAGAATTCAATTTACGGGAAGATATGGTTGAAACCTTGTCGGAGGCTCTCCTGGCCTCGGGTCATTTCTTGGTCACTTCGAACGATTCCGTGGGCCAGAAAGGCGTTCATTTGATTGGATCGCCTTCACTATATGGGAGACCGAAGGATATCCAGTCTATCCTAGGCACGTCTTTCCGTTCTGAGGACTCTCCTGAGGACCCTTCCAATCCCTACATTCTTGTCGTTCGCCCTGAAAAGGGATTCAGTTGGAATGGCAAAAGGATGGAAGTGGACCTTTTGGAACATCCAACCGATGTCAGATATGGCAAGTTACGTCTCGTTGCGGACGGGTCTCAACAACGGCTTCAGAATGCCCGCCTCGCTCTGACTAGACATACTGGGCTACAGCTGGATATTACCATCGAACAGCGTGCCAACCTGGGTCGAGTGAACGTTGAACTGAACAAGATCAAGAAGACTGCATATAAACTTTCAACGGGTATCATTGACAGCGTCGAAATCATCAGGCGACAGAGCAAAAATGCAGACAATCACGAACTCATCCAATCCTGCTTCGCATTCGCGACGGAATTTGGCAAGCGATCTTTGATGTATATGGATGCCAGCCGACGTTCGTTGAACCATTCCAAGCTTATCAATTTGGCGCTCGATTGGGTTTCCTTCATATGTGACGATTGCGACGCTGCAGATCGCAAAACTTTCAAGTGGGCTGTTGCCGCTCTTGAATTTGCTATGATTGTAACTCATGGGCAGAACGTACTTGCGATCAGCAACGAAGATTACTGTCACCTCCGTCTTAAAGTTGCTGGCTGCATGTCACTTTTAATTTCCCATTTCGATATCATGGGCGCGAGATCATCGTTAGCTGCACAAGCTGAGCAACAACACGCGGATCCCTCGGGACAAGGGTTCAGAAAACTGGATCTGAGCCGGATTACAGATGATGCGCAGGCATCACAAGAGGTACAAGAAAGACGGGAGCAGCTCTTCGCGGAAATTGACCTGGCTAGAATCGAGGCTGATGCGAAGCGTCAAGCTCTGGGAAAAGTTCTGGAAGGCGTCAATGAAGCAGATCGATCCGTCACTTTCCTGTCATCATCGGCGACAAATATCACAATGCGATGGCAACAAGGCCAGTTTATCGGCGGAGGGGCATCTGGCTCAGTCTATGCTGCTATTGATTTGGATACCAGCTACCTGATGGCTGTGAAGGAAATACGCCTCCAGGAACCGTCCTTAATCCCAGGAGCCGCGCAGCAAATCCGGGATGAGATGGGTGTTCTCGAAGTGCTCGACCATCCCAATATCATTTCGTACTACGGCATTGAGGTGCACCGGGATAAGGTATATATTTTCATGGAGTACTGCTCCGGTGGATCTCTCGCAAACCTTTTAGAGCATGGCCGTATCGAAGACGAGACGGTCATCATGGTATACACCCTCCAGATGCTGGAGGGTTTGGCTTATCTCCACCAGGCTGGCATTGTCCATCGGGATATAAAACCAGCCAATATCTTGCTCGACCATAACGGAGTTATCAAATACGTGGATTTCGGTGCGGCAATGGTCATCGCCCGCCAGGGCAAAACCTTGGCTGCCATGGATCATTACTCGTCTCACGCACGAGATGGAAAGGGCCATGTGAAGGACGCATCCGGGCAGAGGAAGAACCACAAGTCAATAACAGGCACTCCTATGTACATGTCGCCGGAACTGGTCAGAGGAGAAGTCGGCCACACCTCTGGCCGCCATGGTTGCATGGACATTTGGTCTCTTGGTTGTGTTATCCTCGAAATGGCCACGGGCAACCGACCCTGGGCAGGTGTTGACAACGAATGGGCCATCATGTACAAGATTGCACAGGGTAGCCAGCCGCAACTTCCCACACCAGACCAACTTAGCCTGGAAGGTATCGATTTCATCAAGCGATGTTTTGAGATAGACCCCGTCAAGCGGCCAAGTGCGACAGAACTTCTCCAGCATGAGTGGATTGTCAACATTAGGCAGCAGGTCGTTGCTGAGCCTCAAACCCCTTGCAGCGACGGATGGAGCACTAGTGGTAGTTTACCGCCGAGTGGTGCGACTACTCGGCAAAACTCTAGCAACATGCTTTGAGAATATATCCATCCATCCATCTATATATATATATTTACTATTTGATGTGCAACGCGCATCATCCTAGCTTTCCAGAGCCTACGAACCTGTGAGAGTAATCGAAACTACAATGTTCACCTATTCATATATATTTACATCTTTCCCTGGACATATATTTTGCTCGAAAATGGAGAAAAGAAAAGCACCGAGCCTTCGTTTTCGAAGGCTCACATGAAAGATCGACTTGGAGATGTTTTATAATAATAAATACGTCACGACCTTCATTTCTTGTATTTGCCATTCATTTGCCCAGACGACGAGATACGTGTTTTTCCCCCTTCTCCGTGGCTCTCACTCTCATCCCGTTATTGTCATCTACTTAACTCTACTTATTCCTCAGGTATGGGTTTGCTTCTGAGTGGAATTTGGGATGGATCTTTGTTGGTGGTGCTCTAGGGGTGGTGCTTTAAATTTCATTTATCATGTTTGCTTTC